ATCTAGAGGGCCAGTACTTCAGAAAGCAAAGTTCCACCTTGACTAAAGCAGCACTGGATAGAACCAACTCGAAATCCCCCAAAGAGCCCTGCCACGCTGGAATCCTCCTCCCGTCCCACCTTCACCTCCCCCCCCAAGGCCACCCCACAGACAAAATTTGATTCTGAATCCCTCCCATGTATTTCCAGTGGAGGCGTCACAGAAGCAAAGAGAGCTCACCCTAAAATTCCTCTTTGCTTGTCAAAGTTCTGAAAGGAACTCATTAAAGCTTTGTTAATGGGAGGTATCTAGGAGTGAGATTCTCTCAGGCTTCTGACCGAAGCTGCTCTAGCTTGGTGGAGATCTGAGTGGCTGTTGTTACAGTGCGAATCAAGTTTCATTCCTCAGCAGCCTTTTSAGCAACAGGAAAAACCCACTTGCTCAGACAAGTTGTATCAAATGGCAAGATGATCTAGCAAGCTGTGTCCTCCTCCGTTTACTTGGGATGCAACACACATTGAGGACCAATAGCCAGACCGGGCTCCGTGGTGCATGCCCATATTCCAGGGGCTCCGGAGGCTGAGGCAGGAGGATAGTGAGTTCAAAGCCAGCCTCAGTAAAAGCAAGGTGCTAAGCAACTCAGTGAGACCCTGTCTCTAAATAAAATACAAAATAGGGCTGGGGGTGTGGCTCAGGGTCGAGTGTCCCTGAGTTCAATCCTTGGTACCAAAAACCAAACAAACAAGAAAAGAACTAACAGCCAGGCTGCAAATCACCTGTGTGGAAGACAGCCCAGACCTGGAAGATTTAATRTCTGTGAGTCTTTGAAAATGCCCTTCACCTGCCATCACAGATGCCTGCACCTGKCAAATAGTTTCCCACCCAACACAATAGTTCTTGTTGAGATTTTATGTATTGTGAGCTATGAGATGTGTGTGTGTAGTTTAAAGTGTTGCTATAAATTGAACACCCATATATTCACTACCAGATCTAGAACACCATGCAACTCCCCAGAAGCCCCTGTGTGCCCCCTTTCACATCCCTTCCCTCCGAGGAGTCCACTGTCCTAACTTAGGGAAATCACTTCCTTGCTTTTTTCTTTGCTGTTATGCTGTGTGTGCCCCACCAAACCAGAACCTGCTTCTGAACTTCATGTAAATGGAACCGTTGGGTTATTTCTTTCTCCAAACTCTTTTTAGACAAGGCGTTGAGGAGGCCTCTTGAGTGMATTGTGATGTTTTCCAGGCTTATGGATTCAGGAGTATGCTGTTGTCACAAAAATGACGGGCCTCAAGTCATATGGGCCAGCTTTCAGCCTCTTAGCTCAGCCATTTGGGGCAAGACCTTTCTTTTCATTATCCCACTGGACACGAGCACTTCAAGAATAAGAAGTGGGTCCTGGGGCTGGGGCTCAATGGTGGAGCTCTTGCCTAGCTTGCCAGTGCGGCAGTGGGTTCAATCCTCAGCACCACATAAAAATACATAAATAAAATTAAGGCATCTGTCCATCTACAACTAAAAAAAAATTAAAAATAAAAATAAAAAAGAATAAGAAGTGCGCTTCATCTGTTATTCTGTCCTCAGAAGCTCCCAGGCTGGAGGTGTGTGGAATCCCAAGCATATGAAGAAGTTGTGGTAGGATGAAGTGAGGCTCACAGCAAGCACTCAATACATGGTAGCTAGTCTTATCCCTGTCACCAGTGCTGTTTATTTGAAGATGTGCCTACCCCTCGTAGGGCTGCCAATGTTCCCCACTCCTGGTATTTTTGTGTGTGTGTGTGTGTGTGCAGGGGATTGAACTCAGGGGCACTCAATCACTGAGCCCCTACCCCAGCCCTATTTTGTATTTTATTTAGAGACAGGGTCTCACTGAGTTGCTCAGGGCCTCCATAAATTGCTGAGGCTGGCTTTGGACTTGCAATCCTCCTGCCTCAGCCTCCCAAGCCGCTGGTATTACAGGCATGCGCCACTGCCCCCGGCTACAGTAGACTTTTACCATTCATGAGGCTTATTCCCATTACCTTCCTGAAATCCCCAATACTACCATAGCATATATTCACTCATGAAATAAAGTACAACTCAAAATTATATGACTCCTGGGCTGGGGTTGCAGCTCAGTGGTAGAGCGCTTGCCTAGCATGTGTGAGGCACTGGGTTCGATCCTAGCATCACATAAAAATAAATGAGTAAAATTAAGATATTGTGTTCATCTACAACTAAAATTTTTTTTTTAAATTATATGACTCCTTAAGCCCTTAACAGTTTCATAAATAAGAAACACAGGCTTTATAAAGCTGTTAAAGTAAATATGGCTGAGCCAGGTGCCATGGAACACATCTGTAATCCCAGTGATTTGGGAGGCTGAGGCAGGAGGATTGCAAGTTTGAGGCCAGTCTCAGCCACTTAGTGAGACACTGTCTTGAAATAAAAAATAAAAAGGGCTGGGGATGTGGCTCAGAGTGTCTCTGGGTTCAATCCCAGTACAAAGAAAATWAAAAAAAAGTATGGCTGGACTAAAGCCAAAGCAATTTCATGGTTGTTTCTCTTGTTTGCATTGTACTCAATCACATTAGAAGGCTGAGCCATGCTGAGTATCACCCTTTTAATAAACCTGGACGTTTGCAAGTTAAGAGGTCCGAACCTGTTCCTCCCACTATCTGCCCTACCTTGATAGCTAATTTCAAGCCAGAAAATGGAAAACCACCTGAGGTTGCTCCCTCTCTCTCAATCCCCACCTCCAAGCCAACATTGTTTCAGAAAGATCCTTGTAGCCTTAATGTAGAGGCTGTCTGCAGTGTTGGGTGGGGAGAAGATAAGAGGTAGAGCCATTTGCTACCTTGTGGATCAAAAGAAAAGGCGGGGTTGGAGGACAAAATAGGAAAAATAATTAAGCTTCTCTCGTTAGAAATATTGAGTTAGTGGTGCCTCTGAGCTATCCAAGAAAGATTTTTCATAGGCAATGAAAATGTCTCAAAAAAAAAAAAAAGCTGGGGGGTGGGTTCGGAATGTAGCTGAGTTGGTAGAGTGCTTGCCTTGCATGCATAAGACCCTGGGTTCAATCCCCAGCAACACACACACACACACACACACACACACACACACACACAAGTAATGACTGTCAAAATATAATGCTGCTATCCATTGTTAATAAAACTTTTAGTCCATTTTCTATTGCTATAACAGATTATTGGAGACTAGGTAATTAATAAATAAAAGAGGTTTATTCTGGCTCACAGTTCTAGATGCTGAGAAGCCCAAGAGTGTACAATTGGCATCTGTTCAGTTGCTGCTGAGGCATACTGCTTCAACCCATGTGGGAAATTGAAAGGTCAAGGTCAAGTGTAAGAACTCATTCTCAGCAGAAAGACATTAATCCATTCATGGATGCTACCTCCATGAACCAAACACCTCCCCATGGTCCCCATCTCCCAACAATGTCACATAGAGGAATTAAGGTTCCAAGATATGAACGTTTGGAGACACACTCAAAATAGTAAAATCATTTACTCTAAGCTGGGTGTGGTGGTGCATGCCTGTAATCCCAGCAGCTCTGGAGGCTGAGGCATGAGGCTCAGGAGTTCGAAGCTAGCCTCAGCAAAGGCGAGGCTCTAAGCAACTCAGTGAGACCCTGTCTCTAATAAAATACAAAACAGGGCTGGGGATGTGGTTCAGTGGTTGAGTGCCCCTGAGTTCAATCCCTGGTACCCCCCCCCCCCCAAAAAAAAAGAACATATACTCCAATCTCTATTTTCAGAGCACTTTATGCTTTTTAATTTCATCGCATGTAGGTGGTTGTGTGCAGTATTTTCTGGTTAAAAGTGTGGGCCCTGACCACAGACTGGGTTCAGATCTCAGAGCTGCCACTTTTTAACTGTGTCATCTTAGGGAAGTTATTTAAACTTGCATTGCTTTAAGTTCCCCAGGTGTAAAAAGAGTAGAATAAACAGCCCCAGCTCAGGTTGATGATYCAATAAATCAACAGCTATAAAGCCCTTACAACAGGGGCCCCTCAATCAGGATGGCTATTATTCTGACTACTGCAGCCAGCCGCGCTGTCCTCCACTTCTGAGACTTCCTGGTGGAGGCGGCATGAACCCTCGCCTACACGGTCTTCTGTAGCGCCCCCCTTCTTGTCACTGTGGTTCTTACCTGTCTTATGGATGGRCTGGAATGCGAACTCAACTGGGGCCTTCTGGAGCCATCGCAGAMGGAGCGAACATCACAAATGGCAGTCTTGGGTGACAAAAGCCTTTAAGGAATGTCTGGGGGAGGGGGACTGCTCACATTTTTCCTCCCCATATGGAGGAAAAAAAACTGTTTGATTCATTGCCAATGAGTTTGACTTAAGCTGGGTACAGGGGCGGATGCCTAGAAACCCAGTGACTCTGGAGGCAGAGAGGATCCCAAGTTTGAGACTAGCCTCAGCAACCATAAGATCCCATCTCAAAATAAATAAATAAATAAATAAATAAATAAATAAATTAAAAAAAAGGGCTGTGGATGTAGCTCAGCGGTGGAGTCCCCCTGTCTTCAATCCCCACTATCAAACAAAATAACAAAGAAACCCACACGAACAAATGAGTTTGACATGATTTGTTCCATTTTGGCCAATCTAGGTTTCCCAGCAACTCTCAAAACCACTCCTACTGCTGACCCAACAGGGTGGCTCTGGTGGTGTTTGAACCAAACCACGCATCAAGACACCAAGGTGAGGCCACCCGGGCTTCCACTAACCCCCTGTAACCTTTCCAAGRAAGTCCCCTCATTGTCTTGCTTTTGCAGCTGAGTCTGAGGTACAGAGAATCTGAATAAGTTGTTCAAGGTCATATGTTAGTAAATAGAGCCAAACCCAGAGAGCCTGCTCCAACCTCATGAATTTAGGGCTCTTGCCAAGTTCCTCCTACCGGAAACAGGGGCCAGCCACTCTTGGGCAGATAATTAAGACACGTGCTTGGGAGACAGGCAGCCCTGCCTTCACCCCCAGCCTGGGAGCCCTCTTAAGGGCTGCCCTTTAGCTTGGCTTTGAGCATCACTTCTCCTCTGGAGACACCTGTGGCCTTTCTCTCCCTTGGGCCTTTCTCCAGGACTGGGATGGGAAACGGTGGGACCACGCTCACTGGGGGGCTCCTCTCCCCCCCCTCCTGTTCCCCACCCACCATCCACAGGCCCCTGCATCTGCCTCTTCCCAGAAAGAATGCACGCCCCACGTTCAAGGCAATAGCGAGCAGCAGGACTGTACTGAAGGTTCCAGAACAGAGCTGGGGTGTGTGTGTGTGTGGGGGGGGTGCTGAAAACTACAATTCAGTTTGATGCTTTCCTGCTGCTTGTCAGCCTGCCACYCATTTGCTTGGCACCCTCCTCCCTTGGCCTTTTCCCCATGCCWGGGCGGGAGGAGGTGACTCAGAGGTCTGTCTTCTCTCTTCCCCCTGTTGTTCCTTGCTCTCCCCAATTCCCCACCCCAGACACACATGGCCTCCTCTTGGAGCCCCCCATCCCCCAGACCAGGAGGCTTGCTCACAAATGGCTGGCACAGGCCTCTGCCGCTCTCCCTGTGAGGGGGTTCCTCAACAAGCCCCCAAGCCAGAGCTCTTTAGAGACTGGGAGGAATGGGAACAGCCAGTAAGGCCAAGCTGTCGCCTTGCTGGGGAGGGAAATGTCAGCTGCCTTTGCCTGCCCTGGCCTTTCCTCTACTTGCTCTTCTCTGAAGGTCACTGGTTTCAAAGGTCTCAGCAAATCTGTTTTCCCTCCTAAGAGGGAGAGGGGTTTGTCCCTGAAGATTGCCAAAGGCAGTGGCGAGAGAAACTCACGGAGCAATTACCTTGAAGAGCCTTCCCTGGTGAATAGGCTCTTTCTCTTCCAAGTTGGAAAATTCTCACCTTGTGCCAATTAGCCCAGAGGGCACTTGGAACTCTGCCTCTGAAACACTAAACCCTTAAAGGGAAAGTGGGCAAGGAACAAAAGCAGCCTTCCAGGGGTTGTGGCAGCAGCCTGGTGGCTTTAACACACACACACACACACACACACACACACACACACACACACACACACACAAATACGGTAACAAAGAGCTGTTACCCTGGTAGAACACACTGGAACATCATGTCAAATCCATTTTCAAAACAGCCATCCCTGATTAAACACACGACTTTTCTCCCAAGGGAACGTGGATTTCATTGCCAAGTTCTACAACCTACCCTCTCACTCTACAGAGGAAGTGCCCATTCTGAAAAAGACTTTCGAAATCAGAAACTTCCTGAAGTGTGTACATACATGGATCCTTTGACCAGCAGAAGGTGCGTCATTTATGATACTAACAGAATGGCCCAGAATGGCTGTATGTATGTATCTTACTAAGTACATTGGCCTTGGAGGCACTGTATGATTTTTTTTTCCCTTTTTTAATTTTATTTTTGAGACAGGGAGTCTGGCAAAGTTGCTGAGGCTGGCTTCAAATCTATGATCCTCCTGCATCAGTCTACTGAGTTGTTGGGACTACAAGTATGTGCTACTGTGCCCCTGTGAACTTGTGGGAAACAATAGGGCCACACCCTCTGGGCTCCCCTCCTTTGTGTTCAGCCAGGCTCCCTCCTATTCCCCTCCCATCATCAATAGCCCTGATGTTGATGCACTAGATACTGATACTGATGTTTACTACCAACAGATTGTGTGTGTGTGTGTGTGTGTGTGTGTGTGTGTGTGTGTGTTGGGGTGGATCCCAGGGCCTCACACATGGTAAGAATTTGTTGTGATGTTTCCATTCACTCCTGGCATGTGATCTCTCCTGACC